TACCATGATGTAAAAACATAAGGTGTGTTCGAATGCGTCGCTATTTGCGCCTTCCACTCGTCGGCCATATTGGAAGTACAATGACCTATTGTTTAGTCCGAACACACGTATATTTTACACTACGAGAACTTAATTTTTAACATGTTTACGATTTTAAAATTCGCTCTGTTTTAATATGAAGCGTAATTGGTTAGAAATCCAAAATGGCCAATGAGTGGAAGCGACCGTGATTAGTTGTCCAAATTAATGAACAAGAACACACCTTATGTTTTTACATCATGTTTATTACGATCTAAACTTATCGATTGCGAAAGCAGGAGTAATTTTCGTGTTGAACATAGATCACGTTGTTCCTGTTAAGAGCTAATCTGATAGAATGCGCGATAGCTGGAAGCAGAAAACGTCCTGAGGACAGATTTATTGTACCGTCGGTCGCTTAAGGCAACGTCAGCTCGCATGGATCGCTTCAATTAAAGAATAAACTTTTTATCTACCCTACGCGTTCGTTATATCGTTATATCTAAATAATCCTTGAACATGTTCAAGCATAAATTCGAGTTAGAATTAAAATCTCGAAATTCTAATCAGCCCTGCTGTTTCTTACCGGTTCAGAATTTTCAATGAAAATCGAACTGAAAAATTTTCATAAAAATTCACCAATTATAAATAATTATTATATTATTAACAAAAACACTATAAACACAAGGTAACGCGAGATAATATTGTGAAATCACTATAAGTAAACGTTAGTTAATTTGGCTCGAAATTACCGACACGCAAAGTCAGCTTCGCAGGCAGTAGTCGACTACTACACTTTCATCGTCCTCCAGGAAATGTTATGCACGCCGTATTAACAGTCCGCAAGTCACGCGATGGCCACGGCATTGAAACTTCCGAAGCGAACATTGCCGAAAACAGTTGCACCGTCCCTCTCGTCAACCCCGTCGCCGTTTGACGCCGTGCCGTCGCCGCCCGGACCGAAAATGTTATGTTGCGAATGAAATACATCTGATTCCGGTTTAATCCACCGGTGATGGTACGCGGTCGCTACATAATACATACGATCCTCCATTCAGGATTGACTCGGCTGAATTATGAATGGCGGTCGATAGCTAGAGGGTGGACGCGCGTGTGAGTTTCGCCAAGCTTACGTGGCCCCTCGAGCAGAAACAAGGAAAAAAGAGTCGACGAGTTTCTTTTCCCTAGCTATCTACCCTCTGGAATTCCATATGAAATAGGGGTGCTTGGATAGCTTTGGCATCAAGATTGCATGTAAAATATACGGAGCAAAGGGGTTACTGTTTCCCTTCATGTAAACATGATAATAAGAAAGCATCATTTCGAATATCTATTGGGAATTGACACAGGGGTGGGATCAATAGATATGGCTAACCATCATGGCGACGCGGAACCAGGAATTATACTCGTGGTCCCGAGAGTCTAAGACCGGGCACAGTTCAGTTTTTACAGTTTTTGATCGTTCTGCGCATGGCTTCGTCTAGTTCTACTGTTCGCCACGAGAAGTCATGGTAAATGTGTCAATTCCCAATACCAGTAACTGTACCAATTTATTTTTCGATCATTCTAAAATCAAGTCATAAATGCCAGTAAGTAAAAATGGAGACGTGAAACTGAGGCATTGAGTCCTTTTCACTGTATCGACAATTTTCAAAATACGAACTCGAAAGCCAATGGATATTCAGAACGACGTAATGGAAAAGTGGTTGTAACGTTGGAAAGTTTCTAGTGATCGGAGTTATGGCTGACATCGAACGGCGGTCTTGAAAGGTGTATTTTTAGAGCGGCTGTATTACTCACGTACATACGTGTGCCACGGCAGTTGATCGCGACACGGAGCGACTTTACGTTGTACTTTCTTAGCATTCTAGTTTGTGCAACTCCTTGCGAGATCGGATTTATTGTAGAGTCATTGGAATATGGATGAGGGTTTTATCGGTGATCGGGAAGGGCTTTTGTCGTCGATTGAACTTATCGCTGATTCTTTTTGTGCCAATTGCAACCTCCGCACTTGATCGAATATTTATAAACTGAACACAAGTCACACTGTTCCATGTATTTAATTATTCCAGTAATTGACACGGAAAATTCATCGATTCAGATCCTATTCATTGCTTCTTCTATCCGTAACAAACGAATAATTACTTTAAGGTCGTATGAACCTTTAAGGATGTGTAGGCTATACAGGGTGTCGCAAAAAAAGTATTAGAACCGAAGAGAGGTAATTCTGAACAACATCCTTTGGCAAAACGCAAAGAGAGGCATGGTTCTTGAATTATCAACGAAAAAGCCTGACCAATGAGAACACGTGTAGGGACCGCGCTGACCAATGGCCAAGCGTTACGAACCGAGCCAATCTATCCGGAACTGTGCGCGGATTCTACGCGTGCTCTCATTGGTCAATGATTTTTGTTAATAATTTAAAAACCATGACTAAATTTACATTTTAAGGAACATCCTTAATAAAAGGAAACTGTTGTTCCGAAACACTTAACGAATCACCTCTTTTCGGCTGTAACACTTTTTCTGGAGCCTGTATAATAAAAAAATTACAAAC